CGAGTACCTGTCGGAGCGCCCTCCCTCCAGGCTGTAGCGCAGGTAGCTCATGCCGTCCAGGAACTGGCTGCTGGGCAGGGAGTCGTCGCCCAGCTCCTTCAGGTCCTCGGGCCTCAGGTACTCCCCGCCGTCCCCCGTCACCGTGTCATCCCCTGGAAGCAAGCGGAGGGCGAGAAGGGCTCGGCGAGTGTGCCGCTGCGACGCGGCATCGTGTCCTGGAAACACCGCACACGGAAGGAACGCAGACGCGTGCACGGAAAGCGTGAAAACGCAGAGACACGGTGTCCCACCCACGTGCCTGTTACTTACCAAGAAACCATTCCCTGGACTGTAACGTTTACTCGGTTTTTCTACTCATTTGCTCATCCTGACAGCTGAGTCACCACTGATACTGTTTAAGTCAACAAGATGCGAGTGACGCCACCCACACATACGTAACAACACGGCAAACGCGGCATGCGCTGACGCTGGCCAACCTGAAGGACCACGGCGCCCAAGGGGGCAGGGGTCACATCAGGACAGTGCCCACTGGGAACCTAGGAGGTGGTCTATGTGGAGACAGGGGCTTTATGGATGCAATTTAGGTGAACATCAGACCTGCTAAACCCAATGAGCGTGTCCTTACGGAGACAGAAGGACACATGGACACAGAGCGAAAGGCTGTGTGAGGCCAAGGATCTCAGGATCGCTGGCGGCCACCAGACCGGAGACACCGGGAAGGAGTCTTTCCAGAGCCTCGGAGCTGAGACCCACCACAGACTCTGGGCCCCAGAACTGGGACAGGATAAATGTGGGCCACCCAGTTGGTGCTAATCTGCTGTGGTTGCCCTAAGAGAGTCCAACCAAGTGGCAGAGGGGCTGGCAGTCCTGGTTGGTCTGGGCCCAGCTTGGATGGCAGGCACGGTGGGGTTTCGGGTGAGAGGCCAGCATGTAAGGGGTCACAGGCATCATAAAAACAGAGTGAATGAAAGAGCACTAGGGGCTACTCGTTAGAGAATGCTACGTGGAGTGCCTGGGCACGAGTCAGCGTCCGTACTGGTGAGCAATGGCGACAGCCAGTGTCTGGGCACAGCGACAAGGCCGGGCAGCTCAGGGACTCGACAGGCCTCGTGGACTTACTGCTCCCACCACTGCCCTTCTCGGGCGGTTTGTAAAGCACTACGCGTGCTTTGGTGAGTCACAAAAATTGGGGTCCCTTTCATTTAATTTTTTTAGGAAAAAAACCTAAGATCCATTCTAAGAATTGTCTGGTTTGGGAAGAAGCCTAAATTATTTTCAGAAGGAAATGTATGAGTTTCGTGAATGTCTGGGAAGACTCAATCTACTTTGACTGATGAAGGGAGGGCCTGGGCACAGGGGCTGTTGTGTGAAAGAAGCTGCGCTTTATGGTCCTTTCGCAACTGGCCTGAAAGTTTATCTAAACCCAAAAGCCTAGCTACCTAAAAATTACCACATAACTATTAATTTAATACATTTAAACCACATCAAAAGCATATCTTCATCCAAGAATGATTTAAACCGCATTCCGTCCACGCAAACTAACCTAGTTGTTGCTAGTTCCGTGTCAACTTATCAGGGAATTATTTTTTCTCTAAATTTGTATTCTAAGGAGAAATACTAGTGTGGGGAAAATACTTATATAATGTTCACTAGATAATATAATTACATTAATATGTCTCAATAATAATTGCAAAATCATTAATAGCATAAGCAAGTCCCGGCTCTAAGCCTCCAGGCGAATGTTATCCACACCCAAACCCACACACACAGCCTCCCTGTGCTACGCAGGCTGTTTCACAAGGAGCAGCTAATGTTAGCACCCAGATCGAAACATCACGCAAAGTGCATCTGGGCAGCTAAGAAAAACTCAGAGCAAAGAGAAGCTTTCACGCCAAGAGTTTCCTCTAGAGGTACCTGAGTCACTCAGTGCTTCCCCGTCAGTAACACGGTCACCGGGCCGCTTAGAAGCTGTTCAACATACAGGTAAAGATGAGAAAAGGGGTCCCACGGAGCAGTGTGGGGCGCATGTGAGTGTGAGAAAGCAGCCAGCAAGCGCTGGGACGGAGTACAGGTTATCATAATAAATGCCTGGAGCACACAAGAGTGCAGGACCCAGATTTTGTTTGTTTCTGTCATTAGTTCTTATAAGAGCCAATTCTCAAAGCTCTTGCCAGCAGGGGAGTTAAATTTGGTTCCGAAGAGACGTTTTGATGTAAAGTTGTACCTTATGATTAGACCTTAAAGAACCTAAAGAAATACCTTCACTATTTCTCTGAAAAAGCCGTTAGAACTGGGCCTAGCCCCTTCCTCTACGCGGTCGTTTTCCAGAGGAGCACCCGCGAGCACAGCGCACTCTGGAGCTCGGCCACCTACTCTATGTGCTTGTTCACGACTGTTCGGCAGCAGATTTTTTTGTTCAAGAGAAGTCAGCCATCTAGCTGAAGTGGGGGTGGGGAGCCTGAGAAGCTGCCCCCAGAAGCCCCCAGTGCTCCTGCGGAGCAGCAGGCTGCTCAGAGCCCTGACCCCCGCTGCCTTGGACAATTTCATCAACTCCAACACCAGAGGGGGCACGTTTTCTGACTTAAAGAATCAAATCCTTACATTGAATTTGTCTGACTTCCTGCTAGGCTATGTTTAACCTTCTCTAAGGCTCTTCTCCTCTGGCTCTGAAATAGCTTCTGCAGGTCTGAGCCAGTCAGAAAGCAGGGGTTCCCCAATACACCACTGCTAGTGTAAACTCTAAGATCTTTTCATTGAAGGCATTGCAATAAAAAAAAAGTAATTTAACATACTTGGAACATATGCTAATAATTGTATTGTCAGGTAGATGTTTTAACAGATGGCCAAGTCCCAGTCCTTCCCCCTCCCCAGGCCTGTTAGTGAGACGATAAACGTAATACGAGTTGGAAATATACTAATCAGGATCCTCCTTCCCCAGGTGGCAAAAGTCAATGCGTTGAAACAAAGGTGAAAAGGTGACTTTAAGGTTCCGACACTGCCGTCTGCACCCGCCGCCCAGCTCAGCCCGAGGACGGGGCGGGACGGCGCCCCCTGTGGGACCAGGACCATGCCGCAGGCCACGGGAAAGCAGCTCACCCTCTTCGTCAGAAACGTCCAGCACCTCTGTCATCGTCTCAGGAACATTCAGCTTGTGCTTTTCAGTGATCGTCTGCAAAGAGAAACATCATTGATGTTCAAAAACAAAACCTAAGGAGCCAGACTCGGCATCGGCCCTGAGGCCCCATGCTTCTGGAAGGCCTTTCTCTGGTTTCCTCTCACAACACCTGGTCTTCCTCCTGAAGACAGAGGATCGTGAAACCAGTGAGGGTTACGGGAGGAAGGGCACTGCTGGGAGTCCCCACTTGAAAAAGGAATTTCGTAGCAATGGCACCAATGGTCAGTCCTGCTGAAGAGGCAGCCTACTGAGTCCAGGGCCTCCCCAAATGAGCTGCCTCCAGAAAAGCTTCAGAAAGAAGCAATGGGCATGTGCAAGTTAGTTTTTAAAAGCCAGTGGAAAAGACGTAAACAACGTGAACGGCGTAAACTGTCGGCAGAAAACCTGTCCTCTGGGATGCGAGGACCCCGAGGAGGGGACCCTGGTCCTCCCAGCATGTCCCCATCCAGCACTGCTGCTGGTCGGCCGCCACGCCACGCCATGCCACGCCATGCCACGCCATGCCACGCCACGCTCACAGCCCACACAGACACTGCTGGGTGCTGGGTGGGGGGACCAGCCTCCAGAGTCGCTGCCTGGGCTCCAATTCAAACCTCCCCATTTGTTAGCGATGAGGCCTCAGCTCGTCCCCTTACTTCTCTGTGCCTCGCTGTCCTCTGTGAAATGGGGATAATAATATTGCTCATAAACTGTTATGAACAGTAACTGAAATTACACAAGAGCTTGAAGAGCAGTGTGTGGCGTATGCTGGTACTCAATAAATATCATCTATCACAAATTGTCATTAATGTAATTCAGTACTGAGCTAATCTTACAATGAAGAGCCTCTGAAATTTTTAATAATTCAGGCACTGAGGGAACATTCTGAGTGGCCATGTAGGCCAGGAGCGGTTTCAGACACATCGATTGGCACTGTCACGGAAACTTTAAAAAATCACTCGAAATAAGAGTAAAATCTTCACCGAAAGCCACCGACATAAACAAACAGGTTGTCTAGATCTTTAAGCTTCGCTCCATAGGTGTTACAGATGTGAAAAAATTATGTCAAAAGTTTAAAAGGTTCTGTTCTCAGTCAACTGTCTCTTTAACATAACAGCACACCAGATAAGCAACCACCACAGAGACGTGGGTCTCACGGGCACACCCAGCACAGGAGGCATCCGCGATGCTCTCTGGGCAAGGTCGGCACAGGGCCCAGATTCACAGACAACATCTGGACTCCACCTCGAAAGGTGCCGTGTGACTGGACGTGAATTACTGCGCCATCAGCGGGTACATTGGGGAAGACTGAGAACTCTGAATATTTCCACTTTCTTAACTGCTTGTCAAAGAATTCCCCATTATTTGATAATATAATGTCATTTTATTTTAGTACCTTATTCAGTAATTTATGCTCTATCAATGATTATAAGTAGCATAAAATATGATCACTTTGAAATTATGCAAATAATACAAGTAACTGATGATAGCTGATCAGTAAGTGGTGTCGTGAGTCACATCCCACAGTTCTCCCAGCTGCCTCAGGAGACGAGGCTCCTGCTTCTGCTTCAGGAAAAGTGAGCCCCTGGTTCTGACGTCCATTCCCGCAAACAGTGACCACCATCCTGGGGGGTAAGCTGTCCCTGTCCCCCTGGGTGACGGAGCAAAGGTCAGAGAAACAGCCCTGATTCCAGCACGCCTGAAACTTCCTCAGCGGTGGCTTTTTCCTTCGCAAACGGCTGCTGAGTCCTCTCCCCGCATTACAGCTTATTCTGCTTTGGGAAAAGACCTGGGGGTGAGCATCAAGCGAGTCTCTGACAAGGGAGAACCCACCTGCTTGTCCTATGAATCCAGCGGCGTGAGGTTTGCACGTTGGCGCTGTAGCTGTAGCTCTACTAATCCCCTTAAATGGGTACAACATTAAATTTAATTCTGTTAATTTTACATAATTATTAAATTCTCTCCAGCTATCTGCCTGTCACCAGAGTACCTCCAAGCTATTTCAGTGAGTCTGTGGACTTTAGGAAATAACATCGAACATGGTGCTTCTGTGAAAATCAGCAAAGGGGATCACTTCAGAGGTGTGTTTTCTAATTGAAAATTTGGTGAAAACTTTTCTTTCCCCAAATTCCTGGGAAGCTACTTTTAGCAAAGCCAAACTCTGTTATGTCAGAGGATTACGAACATGGACTTTGGAAGCTGACAAACTAAATCTGAATCCTAGATGCGCGCTGCGTGCCCGGCCCAGCTGTAGCTACTATTAGCTATCGGGCTCACGACATCGGTAGCACTGCTGTGTGGAAAGAGTGGAAAATCTCTTCCCAAAGAGAGGACATGTGAGTAGGAAGACTCGCCTAACAGAAAGGAGTAAGTTCTTTCTTCCACCCTTAACCCCAAATTCCATTTCGCAAAACAATAAAACTCACAGCCATGAGAGCAGAGCCGACTGTCAGGCAGGAAACGAAGGGAGGGTCCCTCAGACCAAGACCCCAGCCGGGGGGACCCCACTGACGTGGACGTGGCTCCCCACGGAGCAGACGTCGCAGGCCTCGCATGTATGAGCCAGGAGGCTTTGCTGGAGCGACGCTCAGCTCGGCAGGTGGACAACAGCCCACGGAAAGTTCTGCAAGGCCTCTGTGCCCCTAGGGCCGGGTGGCGGGCGCCTGGCTGGCTGGCCGTCCCTCTCTGGTGTCTGAGAGCCTGTGTAGCAACGCTGTTTAGAAAGCTGACTGCCCCTCTTGTTAAATGAGGGCCTGTATGGCTCGGGCCCCTCACCCTGGGTAACACCGAGAGCCCGCCACCTACATGTGGACGCGTCGCCTACAGTTCCGCTGAGTTAAAGAATATTTCTGTACAGAGCCGACTGCCGCCCTCCACACCACACTGGAGCCGCTGGTGGGCAGGGCCGGAGTCCTCACGGCCGGTCTTCCTGCAGCACAGAGCCCAGCCCCGGTTTACGCCCAGAAAACCCTGAGGGGAGCCCATGGCAGCGTCAGGAAAAAAG